CGTGGAGGTGGCACGGTCGGATATCCACCTCTTCGAGATGCTTGATCAAAGTGAGTCTTGTGCGCGCGCGTTTGTGTGTGTGTGCGCGCGTGCGTGTGCGCGCGCGCGCGCATACCTTAGATAATGCGCCGGCGATACTTAAACTTTAAAGGTTCGTAACTCAGGAAGATCTCAAGCAAAAAGGGTTTGTAACCAGTGTTTCGGAAACGTCTTGACACCAGTTTTAAGGATATGTAAAAGAAAATAGGTGTTTCCATTTAAGATTTCAAAGTTGACCTTCACGGTGTCCTTCAAGGTCACATGAAGGTCATTTCAACATAACCATATAATAGACCACTTGATATACTAAAACTTTTGTATTGAACATTTTTTTCCATAAGCATTATTTTCCAAGATATTTGACCGTTGCCGAACTTTCTCCCATCACTGTATAATTAGTTATATATAAAAATATCATGAATTGCTAAAAGTTATATTTATACTTTAGGGAACTCTCGAGGATCAGTTACATCGTCTGAAGGAGTACGAACAGGCTGTATATCAATACAAGACTCATCTTGAAGAATTGGAGAAGATTCATCAAGCGGTTCAGGAAGGTATGATCTTTGAGAACCGCTACACTCAGTATACCATGGAAACGCTGCGTGTTGGTTGGGAACAGCTTCTGACATCGATCAATCGCAACGTTAACGAAGTCGAAAATCAAATTCTCACCAGAGATTCAAAGGTATTTCTATATCATTTAGATAATCATAAAATTATACGTCATCCAAAGAAATATTGGTTGTAATCATGAGTACAAGAGGAAAGATGCTTTTATAGTCAAAAGCAAATACAAAAAAATTGAAACATATTGACATCGGAAAAGTTATGCCAGAAGAAAAGGAAGCTGATTTATCAAGTGAAGAAATCGAAGATTCTGAAATAATAATAGACGATGAAGTTACGCCAACAAAATATGCATCAGTTTTTTATATAAGATATTATGTTTATTGATAAATAAAGTTTATCTAAACAAGAAACGTAAGAAGAGGGAAAACTCGTGTGGAATATCAACATAAAAACTTCTTATGTTCACATACGTGTTCCGATATATGTAAATATATATATTGCCATTACTAAAAATCTTGTTCATATTACGTATGCTATAGATGTTCAGTACTAGCAGTGTATATCATAATATGAATAATGCCAAGTTGCTTACAATCCTCCTTAAAAACAAGCGGAAACATATTTCTATTTTAGGGTATCACTCAGGAGCAGTTGAATGAATTCCGCAGCAGTTTCAATCATTTCGACAAAAACAGGACAGGTCGATTGGCACCGGACGAATTTAAATCTTGCCTCGTGTCTCTGGGATACTCTATTGGGAAGGACAGACAAGGCGACATCGACTTCCAACGAATCCTGGCCATTGTCGATCCTAATAATTCAGGCTATGTGCACTTTGACGCTTTCCTCGATTTCATGACACGTGAGTCTACTGATACTGATACAGCGGAACAGGTCATCGATAGTTTCCGCATTCTCGCTGGTGACAAGGTAAGAATATTCGAATTTCTATGACAATGCAGCGATGAAAGTTGCATGTTTAACTTGTGTCGTAAATTCTTGTTTCAGCCTTACATCTTGCCAGATGAATTGCGGCGAGAATTACCACCGGATCAGGCGGAATATTGCATTCAGCGAATGCCTCCATACAAAGGACCGAGCGCTGTGCCTGGAGCATTGGACTATCGCTCTTTCTCAACGGCTCTATATGGTGAATCTGATTTGTAAATTTACGTAATAATCGATATTATTCGAAGCGGAATAATATCAAAAAAAAAAGATACAAAAAGCGAATCAGATATTGTCAATTGACAAGTGAACGCCTCAAAATTACTCCTACTATTTTAATACTTTAACGCATCAACGTATTTTCATGTGGCGATACGTTTTACAAAAATGAAACTCAGTATGAGAGAGTACAATACATTCAATAATACGTTCATTACACTAAATATTAATAATTGTACGTACGTGTGTATGTATGTATACGTATGCATACACACTCAAGGTTATTGGAATGTTTGAGGTAAGAAAGAACAGATGGTGTCATTTTAACGCAAAGGGATCTAAGTGTGTCAAAATAGATAATTAAGAATTCTTCCACATGAATGGAAATCACATATCAAATATACAAGGAAAGAGGATTTACGTAACTTATATAAGTCTGTTAACGTGACAATAATGAGTATCAAATATATTTAGATACCTTTCGTTAAAAAGATAAGAAACGTAAATATATGTAGACACGAAGTTCGAAATCAATGTACTCTTCTAGAACGTTTTGCTACATGCTTGCTCTTTTATTCTTTTATGTAGTCTACACCGAAACGAAACGGCTCGAATTTTCTTTTTTTTCTTTTTGGAATAGTAAGTGCCAATGTTAGATAAGATCTTGTGCAATTCTTGTCTTGTAATAGAAAGGAATTGCGTCTTAGACTGGTAATTGTGGCAAAAAGAAAAGGCTCACATAATTGGATATGCATAGTTAGTGAGTGCATTGATACTAGAGGCTCTCCAAATTATTATTAGAATAGCATTACTGGATATTTATTCTAAAGTAAATCCTAATAGCCTACATTTTATATTTGATTATACAGCGAAAGAGATATATATACATATATTTTTAGACTTGCGATTTTTGCTATTGTAACATAACAATTTAACAATGTTTTTGGATTGAATTTTTCTGACCGAATCCATTGTATCTTCATTATATTTTATAATTGTATTATGTTCGTCGATAACTTAAACGTGCCCCTTTAAAAATTGCCAAGTTTTATACATTACATATCGGGTGCACATTCCGTAAGGCCATAGATCAATGTTCGCACAAACGTTAAATTAAAAGAGAAGTCGTCAAGATATTAAAATTCAAAGAAATAATAATAACGAGTCCTTAACGATATATAAATCGATCTTCTCGCTAAGTATCCAGAAAACGTACGCTCGAAATCGAATAATGCCCATATTTTTTTTAATAAGCGCGGCACTACGAATCTTTAAACGACAAGCCGTCGCCTTGTAAATCGTATGTTAAAGATATTGCGAGACGAATATGCTGAACGAAGCAAATTATTTATTTATTTGACTTTAATAATTATTTATTATATCGCTCCGATATATATCTATTTTACGGTAGTGAACGGAACACTTTTCTCTCAAAGTATTTATTTTTATAAATATCTGCAAAGGGCGATAAGGCGCTAATTGTAATATAGAGTTCATCGTGTAAATCTCCAAATCGCAGCTATCATTTCTTGTATCACAGTTTAAATGCGACGCAGCCTTAGCAAAAGTGAAGTCAGAGTCATCATTATTGTTTAAATCGTTGTGAAAAGTCAATCTCTCGATAAAAATACTCGTGTGTGAAATACAATTATTTTTATTGTAATAAAAAAAAGTATACTGTGTAAATTTCTTTCTTATTTCTTTCTTTTTTCTCTGTGTTTTGCTTATTGCGGCTATAATGAGCTTTTCAATGTCTATCTTAATGTGTTTTTCTTGAGAATTTACTTAATTTCTCATTCCTTTTATCTAATTTTTTTCTCTCGCAGTATACTATATTGGGCACATAGAGAGACGAGAAATATACGCCAAAGCAGAAAGTTAACTGCTGAAACAGTATACATGTAAAACAACACACACGCACTTTTTCACATGTATATGTACACATGCGTAAGGAAAACATACGTAATGCCAAAAGAAAAAACGTATATTTTAAACTATATACAAATATATATATGTATATACATATATATATACTATATATATACTATATATATACATACTATATACAGATAGCTAATTCATTGCGATATTCGCAAACGAATATTTAAAATGAAGTTCAAATATTCGGAAAGTTGATGTCGAATTCCTTGTTACAATTGTCATACAAACGAATACATTCTTGTATATGTATAGCATACACTTACAATTGTAATTATTTTATGGGACAATATTTATGAAATTACGACAACTCGCTGAAACATGATCGTCTCGCGCTGCATTACATTTATCAGCTATTACTGTATACTTGTTTTGCTCATCTCATCTTTCTAGATTAATAAAAATAACATTGTGAAATACAAGAATATCGGGGAAAATAAAGAAATCTTTGAAAAAAGTACATATTATTACGTCCGTGAAATTTTGTTTATTTGCGTCTCCCTGTATATGATCAATTGGAGCATGAAGAAATCAATAATCTACCGAAGATCTTTTTTTAATAAAAAAAAAACAGTAATTTATCAAAATTGTTACCGTGTTGGTCGAGTGCATGAAGTAAGAATAAGGGGACCTAACTATATGGATTGAAAGTGGTCATGAAAAATGTTCCGTATACTGCCAGGTTCGCTGAATGGAATAACTTGCAACATTTCGTCGCTATCATGGACCTCTGCTACGGGGTGATCCCGATTGACCACGTCTCGATTGGACACCACCAATCACAGCGACCGGTGCTTAGGAACTTTGTAGTCTCAAGCGCTGTGAGTAGCTCGTGTCCAATTGAGCCGTGTCCAACTGGGTGCCACCCCTCTGCTACACAGCACGTTTAATCGTGGGGAGCCACTCACAGCGCTTGAGACTACAAAGCTCCTAAGCACCGGTCGCTGTGATTGGTGGTGTCCAATCGAGACGTGGTCAATCAGGATCACCCCGTGTAAATATAGTCATGGAGGACTGGAGAGAGCATTGCGGTGGTAGGGATATAATCCTAATAGGTGGTCCAAGATGGCCGCTACCGGAAATAAACTGAAGGAGGTAAATTCAAATCGAATTTCAGATTACGATCATTGTATCGTAATAATTGTCTTTTAGAGCATACATAAATTAGTCAGAAGTTCTAAGCGATTTTAAGTCATAATCGGTGAAGTCTTAACCAGTCTTAACCAAGTTTACCAGGTTAAGACTGGTTAAGACTTCTGACGTTCTGACTTGCGGCTTATTGTAGAAGGCCCATTAGTGTTATTACTATTACCACCGACGAGATACTACTAAAGACCGACATCCCTACGGGAGTTCGCGTCCTTGTGAATATTGAAGTGATTAAGAGTTAAAAACTGATAATATTGTACTAATTTTATGATTTATTAATTTAGTAGATGTATTTATGCATTTATAACTCAATAATACTCGATTTTTCTTTAAAATTGAAAGGACCCCGCACAAAATCATAGGATTTTGGCCCTCGGTTAAATTGGCTGAAATTTTAGTATGTTATAGTTCTTGAC